GGGCACAGCATGGACAGCTGATCTGCCCTCCAATCAGTGCAGGCCCACTCAGTGGCAACTGTTCAGGAATATAGAACTGCAGGGCGTGTAGTTTGCTGAAAAGACTCAGACACAAGAGTTTCCACACAACCGAGGTGTACTAGAACTCACAAGACCTGGAAGTACATACAAGTCAACAATTAAAACCTGAGCTGCATAAAATGTCTTCCCCAGGGAATCAGCATCACAGCAGCAATTTAGCTCAACCACAGGACTCAAATACTGGTCTCCACAGGAAGTTCCCCCATTGAGAAGTAAGCAAAGGACAACAAACTTGTCCCAGTGCAGAGTTTAAGTGGTGTGGATAACTAATACTCCAACACAGAAGTGAAAGAAAACACAAAACACCCACAGATCAGAGACAAATTCTGATATTAACCAGTAAAGGTCTAGCACCACCAAAGGACACCTATAAAACCTAGAAGGACCGAAAGTCCCCCAGGCTCCCAAGCTGAGGTGGGGGGAGGGCCGAGGGCCAAGGGCCTCAAAGGGCCAAGGGCCTCAACCATGCCCTCCCCTCCCCCCAACATCCACATCCAACCCAGTGACAACCACTGAGTCACTGCTGGGAGCACCTGGAGCTCCCCTGCTAGAATGAGGGGGGTGCCACGGGCCTCAACCATACCCCATCTTCCTCCAACCGCCTCCTCTCACCCTATTCCACTCTCCTTTCCCCTCTCCCCTTCCCCCCGAGGGCCAAGGGCCTCAGCCATGCCCTCCCCTCCCCCCAACATCCACATCCAACCCAGTGACAACCACTGAGTCACTGCTGGGAGCACCTGGATCTCCCCTGCTAGAATGAGGGGGGTGCCACGGGCCTCAACCATACCCCCTCTTCCTCCAACCGCCTCCTCTCACCCTATTCCACTCTCCTTTCCCCTCTCCCCTTCCCCCCCAACTTCTCTACATCATCTTAGAATGTAAGAAAAAATAATTAATTTTTTAAAAAAAACCAAAGATAACATTAACCCAGATCTTCTGATATTTCCTCTCTTAAAGAAAAAGATCATTTTAAAAGGTAAGTTTTTCCTATCACTCAAGAAAAATATAGTAAATGATCATAAGGGTTTGTTTTCATCAAGGACTTCCTGTTCTTTCAAATTTCAGATTTAAGTATTAGATATTTTAAAGGCTTCAGCAGACACTCTCCACATGCCACAAACCCTAATATTACAAAATTTTACATGTTACATACAACAAGTGAATTTTTCCAGAGAAAGTTTCCATTAGATCCTCAAAAAAGGAAAGTGGTAGTCAAATGCCATGGTCCCAACTTAACACTGCTAGATCCCAAGAAGGTTATGGATATACTGAGTCTAAAAGTCCACAAAACAATAGGAACTCTCATTCATTGCTGGTGGGAATGCAAACTGGTACTCTGGAAGACACTTTGGCAGTTTCTTAAAAAACTACACAAGAGTACTTCAAAAAGTTCATGGAAGGATTTGTATTATCTTTTAATTCTTTTTTCCATGAACTTTTCAAGTACCGTCATACATAATTCTTACCATATGATTCAGCAATCACACTCCTCAGTATTTACGCAAGTGAGTAGAAAACTATGTCCACATAAAAACCTGCACATGAATGTTTATAGCACCTTTATTCATAATTGCCAAAACTTGGAAGCAATCAAGATGTCTGTCTTTCAATGGATGAATGAGTAAATAAACTGTGGTACATCCATAAAATTGAACATTAAAAAGGAAATGAGCTATCAAGCCATGAAAAGACATGGAGGAAACTTAAGTACATATTGCCAAGTGAAATAAGCCAATCTGAAAAGGCTACATACTCTGTGATTCCAACTGTATGATTCTGGAAAAGGCAAACCTACAGAGACAACAAAAAGATAAGTGGTTGCTAGAGTTAGGGGAAAGGGAGGGAGCGATGAACCAGCAGAGCACAGGGGATTTTTAGGGCAGTGAAACTATTCTGAATGGTGCTGTAATGGTGGATATATGACATTATGCATTTGGAAAAACCCAGAGAATGTATAACACCAAGAGTGAACACAAATGTAAATTATGGACTTTAATTAATAATAACGTGCCAACAATATTGGCCCATCAATTCTAACAAATGTACCACAATAATTCAAGATGTTATGTTAATAATAGGAGAAACTATAGGGTGGAAAACAATGAAAAGTTGTATGGATACTCTCTGTACTTTCCACCCAGTTTTTCTGTAAACCTAAAACTATTTTTTAAAAAAATAGTCTATATATAAAAGAAAAATGTCCAGGGAAGCAGACAGGAATTACGAGAGGGCTCTAAGCAGGTGCAGGTGTCTGAAGGTTGACCCGTTCTTTCTTTTCCTGAATCATTAATTAAACCTTTGGGCCACCCTCACAAGAAATTGTGTATCATGCTGGGAGAAATTCTTTATAATCTCTTAGTTCAAAGTATCAAAAAAGGCTAAGCATGCAGGAACGAGAGAGGAGGAGTACTAATACATTTTTTTCTCCCAAAATACACAGGAAAGAAACTTCAAACAGGCAGAAAGTGAGCAAAGACAGGCAGAAACTGGGCAAAACGTACTACCACAGTTGCCTTCCATTAAAAACTGAAGCAAAGAACCAGAGACAGCATCACTGAGCTCATTAAATATCATAGAGGAAAAGTCACTAAAGCAAAGACATACACATTTTTGGTGTTGTACAAGGTGTAGAAATAAATCTTTCCTTAAAGTAATTATGAAATATAATGAGAAGCTATCCTTTTGTTGAGTTCAAAAAGATTAGGGAGGTGTCATCTCTCTAAAACCTCCCATGTGACTTCACCATTCTTGATAGTAGAAAATCATTATTTCTTAAAGTTGACTTAATTTTATACACATTCATTAGTCAGAGAGACAAGTCTGAGGAAAATAATGGGAAATCAAGTTGGGTAAACATCACTTTGCAATCAAAAATTAGCTTGTTTGTTCAAAATTAATCTACGGTGTCAAAAGTCAGGATGATGGTTACCTGGGGGCGGGAACAGACAGGGTTCTGAGGCAGTGGAAATGCTCTATTTCTTAATCTTAGCGCTGGCTGCACAGGTGCATTCACCTCATAAAAATTCACTGAACTATACACCATTGACCTGTGTGCTTTTCTATCGGTATGTTATATTTCAAATTTTTTTAAAATTGCCTATTAAAAGAAACAAAACCAATTTTTTTACATGTTCCTATCAGGGACTTATAAATTGTTGTAAAGGCAATTCAAAAATAAATTTCCAACACTGACTAATGAATACCAGCATGCTGAGAAAATCTATGGTCCTCTGAGGAAACTGCTTAAAAAGACAATGCTCACTTGGAAGATATATTCTGACATCTTTTTAAAAAAATTATAATCACATTTTATAAGAAATAATTTTAAAACAATAGAAAATCCAATAAGTTAATATATATTCTCCAGAAAGTGAAAAAAGGCTTTTTGGACCATAAATCTTTACCTTGTAAAAAGTCGTGTTATTTAATAAATTATTGATGCCTATTGAGTATAAATCTACTTGATTTATCTACTCATTATTTAAGTCATTCTGTGAAATACACACATTCAGTTTAGGAGCATTAGACTTTGAAACATTTTCTTTACTAGCCCTACTTTGGCTTGACAGCAATTCTTCATACTGAAGACAACCAATTTGGATTTAGCACACTCAGCCAGCAGCAGAGTGGTATGAGAGGACAGAGCAAGACCTCCATGGGATCATCTCCACATATGTCCAGTTAGATACGTTTGAAAATTATACCTTTCAAAAAGCTAATACAAAAAGTGAGTGTCATGAGTCCTCTTATGAACAGAAGTTGGCCCTCCAAATCCACGGACTCTGCATCTGTGGACTCAACCAACTGTGGATTGAAAATATTTGAAAAAAAAATTGTGCCTGTACTGAATATGTACAGATTTTTTTCTTGTCATTATTCCCTAAACAATACACACTATAACAACTGTTTACATAGCATTTACACTATATTAGTATTAGGTATTATTAGTAATCTAGAGTGATTTAGAGTATACAGGAGGATGTGCATAGGTTATATGCAAATGCCACACCATTTTATATCAATGACTTGAGCATCCACAGGGTTTGGTATCCATGAGGGTCCTACAACCAATCCCCCACAGATACCGAGGGACTATTGTAAAAGGAAAATATTTGCCATTTTATATATAAAAGGACTCATGAAACTGGAAAGCTGCTCTTTTCTTTATGACCTTTTTGAAATATATGACTTTCAAACAAATTAGAAAAGAAACCAATGACTAGGTTTATAAAATAGTTTACGAAAACCAAGAATGATGATTGAGAAAATAATCCAACAAGACCATCAATAAGCCACCAGAAGGAAAAAATCCATGTCAAATTGTATCATTCGAGGAAGAGCCACACTTACAATGAGGGTGGACGAAGTATGAGCTGGTTTTCAACACCAATGAACAACAGGGCTTCTCTTTAATGTTCAGAGCAACCAAAAAATTAGAGACATCTAGAGCAAAACATAGGGGCCCGCCAGGATAGTAACCATATGCTTTTTTTTTAAAAAAAAAAAAAAAAAAAGCAAACCTTTGTCATCTGCTTTTTTCTAAAGTCTCCTTGCCATAAGTTACTGGTATCTAAAAGTTTGCAAGAGTCAAAGAAAAATCTCAGAATCATAACCATTAAGAACTTCTCATTTTTGCAGAAGAATATTTTATTACTTATTCTGATTCATCACACTGTTTTAGGGAAAGATACACGGTACTGTCTAAACAAAAAAGACATTTAAGAAAGGGAGGTTCATCCCCTATGCTTGCAACAAAGATGTTCCTCAAAGTGACTTGACAGCTCTAGAACAGTAAGTGGGTCTGCATTAGACGATAAAGGCCCCAGTTTCAGTTATAAACGCATTAAAGATTGGAAGCTAATTGCCCATGTCTGAATTCCAAGTACAAATCACTTATTTAACAGTATTACGTACTTAGAATTCTAAAAATCCTTTAAGAAAAAACAAAGATGTGTGTCTCAAGGTATTTCAAAAGAAAACAAGAAAATTTAAGGATAATTAAAAATTATGAAAATTACCTTCTATACTATTTCTAAAATAAAAAATCTTCCTATGCTTTCTTTATATAAACATATGCCAATTCTACTGCAGAGGAAGAACAAGGGAAGAAGAGAATTCTAACGTGTGATTTAAAAGAAAAAGACACTAAGAGAAAACAGATCGTGGATCCTATCCATATAGTCTTTCCCCAGTGAGGAGGCAGAGAGAATTTAAAACCCACACAGCTGCTAGCCTTCATGTTTTGTTTAATGACTCCTCTATTTGTAGAACCTACTGTCCATCCTCCCCCACCCCCGCAAAAAAAGAGATATTTATTCTTTGTTCTGATGTGCTCTCCTCCCTAGAAAAGTGTCAGGAAACCATAGAAAATGCCCTGTAGCTAAAGCAGACATGAAATTTTTGATGAGCTCATTAAAGATTCATAATGAACAGACTACAGGCATGCCAGCACACACAGCATGGTTTCCCGAGATACACTGCATCTAAATAGAAGGACAAGAGCTAGTTCCCAGGTTTAATACAGAAAGCTGATGAGCTTGGCTTTTGTTGTTTTTTGAGGGCTTTTTTTTTTTTAGGTTCAGTATATTATATGGCTCAAAGAAGATAACACTACCTAAATTTATTTTCAAAACAAAAAAAAAGTGGGGGGAGAAGGAACAATTACGGTCAAGTTCATGTACAAAACATTATCTCCTTCGACTCTCACACTCAGGGCTGAAATCCTGAGGGGGCAGAGGCTGGCAGAGGTTTCCCATGGAACAGATGAGTGCTTGTGGACTAAAGTCTGGGTTTCCTGTCACCCAGAAGGTTCTTTCCACTTTATAATTTCCTTTCTCTTATTCTTTTTTTTTTTTTTAAGGGAGCGGCCTCCCAGTTCTAGGCATTTTTACCATGAAAGCCAAGACCTGATGTGAATCTGCAATTCTGACCTGGCCCCTCAATTCTGACAGGCCCCTGGGACTGTTAAAGCTTAAACCAAGAGGAACACCAGGTCCCCTCCTCAGGACTGTGACAACACTGGTTTGCTAATTTTTTTTACATCACATTTCACAGGTAAGCTGCCTGCCTTTTCTTTCCTTCTAGAAATTAAAAACTTGTACTGTACCTGAACCTCCTCAAAGATAGTAGCTTGCTCCTGATTAGTTAATGTTGTCAGGTGCTTTTGGAGTTCTAGTTTGGTTTTAGAAGAATTCATTCCTATTAAGAGAAAAAAGAGAGACATTACAAAAAAAAAAAAAAAAAACTATGTAAAAGTTATGAGATAGAGTTAACATCTTCCATACACATTGTTTTTACATTCTTACCCACCCACTTCAGGCTTTCAAGGTTTTACAGAAATTCTATCAATAATAATGTTGGTGATGTTTATCACTGTCATCATCTTTTAATCGAGCTCTGATGTGCTAGGCATGTATATTAAGCACTAAATCTTCATCATTTCATTTAGTTCTCAAAACAACCTGATGAAGAGGATGCTGTTATTCCCTACTTTACAGGTAAGGAAACTGAGGCCCAAAGAGCATACATAATTTCCTAAGACCATCAACTTGGACTCTACCTCAGGTTTGTGTGGTTCAAATTACTTTCTCCATGTTAAAACACCTCACATAGAATGTTCTCCTCAGAAAGTAACTTCTCATGAGTATTTATATGTAAACATGACAATTTTTTCTTAAGGAAAAACAATTTGAAAATTTACCTACGTTTTTCTCTTGTATCTTAGGTTCCCTTCACATAAAATCAATGCATGTGGCTAACAATTTTCCTTTTATGACCACATCCTTGTTAATAGTCTTAAGACCATTTAATTAACATTACAAAGGGTTTGGAGAAAAAGTTATAAAAACAAAGTCATTACATCACTTTAGTGCCTGCTGAACTTGGACATTTCAAGAAGGTTCCTTCTCACACAAATATGGCTCAGAGCCTGTTTTGCCTTGTCTTGACATCTATGTCACACATGATGAGAAGATTTAGAATGAAAAGATTTGCTGATTCAACCACCATGAAGGAAAAAAAAAAACCTGCTGGTTACTTTTCTTACAAGGGCAGCCCTCCCCTTCTGAGAGGGTGAGCCCCTAGGCAGGGCTCTGAGCTGAAGGCACCTATATAACTAA